AATTTAAATTAATTAATTTCAAAGGAGCCAAACACAGAGTAAATCCAGAGCTCACTTAGGCTTGAGCCGTGTATATAGATTGTGTCTCATCATAATCATTTGTGTACATCAAAAATATGCAAACATGAATCACAACATTGTCTCACAAACAACAAAAGAAATCGAGCAGGCTCACACGACCCACTGTCAATGGCCTGAAACTGTATGTTCAACCAATTAGTTTATCTTATTACAAAGGCAGAGCGCCTCTCATAGATAAAGAAGAATTACTCCTTAGAAACCTGGCGGACCAGGTCCGTGCATATAGATTTATCGCCTCTCAATTCACATCAAATTGTAAAAGGAGAACAAATTATTTCAACCATAAGGTGATTGGCGCACGCTCACGACAATTTTGGATTCTAGACAGATAACTACTCGATCAAGTGATTGTCCCGCCCTGCAACCGCACGGTCCAAAAGGACACCAATAAAATCCACCGAAGAGCCCCCAAAAGCCTAATTTTATGAACATTACCCCATCGTATCTTGGTACTTTAGTGGTACAGAATGTAAATATAGACCGATAACTCTCTATAAATAGGGAGTCCATCTCATGAATTTGGGGGGGGAGGGGGGGAATCTCTCTCTCTCTCTCTCTCTCTCTCTCTCTCTCTCTTATAAGGGGGATGCAATTTTGCTCTATATCTCTCAATCTTTTTCTTTTTCTGGATTTCAAGTGCTCTATTCCTTAGACGTGCCTCAGACAAATTTAGATTAAACATCGTAAAAGGTACGATGAGTGTGGAGTCATGTCGTCAACAAGATGAGAAGCATGGAGATCCAAAAGGGAAGGGAGTGCCCAAGAATAGTAGCTAACACGGAACCCTCAGGAGACAACATTGAGGAATGCATGCACAGAATACAAGAGATACAGACCCAAAACATGGAGCAATGACGTGTCAGATCGCCGAGGTCCTGAGAGCTGTTGCAACCCTAGTAGAAGATCAAACTGCCAGTGCATAACGACTGACCTCAAGAGGCACTGACAATGCACAATGGTTGGAAGGCATAACTTGGCTTGTAGGGAGCCAACGCCTCCCAATACCAAGATAACGTGAGATCTGCACAGATGGAGAAACAGCGCGTAGGATGCATTGAAGCGTCATGATAGCCGAAGAACGGTTTCTCCCTCCAAATATATGGGGCAGAGCCTCCAAAAAGAATATTGTTGTCTCCTTTGGAAGCCTACAGGGGGTGATCTGACCCCAATGACCATATCACTGCATTCGAGTCGACCGTGTGCTTACTCAAAATCTCAAATGTGTTTACGTGTCATTTGTTCCTTACCACTTTGAGGTCTTCACCCATGAAGTGGTTCCACAGACTTCCAGCTGGAAGTATCAGTAGCTTCATTGATTTCAAGAGGTTGTTCTTAGTACAATTCCTTAGTGTCCGGAGACCAATCAAAAGTGTTCGGTCCTTGATGCTGCACAAGCAAGGAGAACATAAGAGTCTTCGCACATTCATTGTATTCGATAGAGAGATGTTGGAAGTAAAAGACCTCAAAATCGATACGTTCATGGCCTCCTTAAAGCAAGCTTTACGATCCAAGAGGTTCTCCTACGACCTCAGTATTAACAAACCCCAGGACTTGGCAGAGTTGTTGGAGAGAACCAACGAGCACAAATCATATTGATGGAAGAAAGCACCCTCAAGCGGGAACCATAAGGCTGCCCCATCCAAAAGAGAGCCCCTCTGAGAGGCAAACCAAAAAAAAGAGAGAAACACAAACCACTTGTCCCGCTTCGTCTCGAAGAAGGCCAGCACTCTCAAAATAATGGACAAATGGGATGACACCCACAACATCGTGGATCGATGAGAAACCGAGACCCTTAGCTAACCTGATACTACAAAAGGTTGTCACAACATTACCAATAGCCATACGAAGATTGTGAGGGCTACAAGCTACTCCCTTAAGAGTGTCAATGACAAAAATTATGGACGCCGTCCAAGATAAATAATATTTTAAGGAGTTAGCACCGATGAGAGTCGAAGTTTTCCTTCAAGATTATCTTTCGAGAAACACCACCTTTTAGGATGTTGAATCATAAATTGTCTTTCGAGAACATGTCTTGAGAGATAGAGCTGATAAAAAGAAAGAGAGAGAGAGTTGGACAATCGAGTGACAGAGAAAAGTTATATTTTTATTTATGTCGTGACCTATTATTTATATGGGCCTCAAAATACAGTTACAAAAATGAGGGAACAATTATAATAACTGTCCAAATAATTGAATTATTTTGAATGAGAATTACATTATAATACAAAAACAATTATGATATATGTAGGTCGACCAAAATTTTATATTGACCGATTCAATTGATCTATCAAATGACTTCCGTCAAGGGATCCAGTCAATCGAAGAAAACCCTTCGATCACTCAATCGTGTCATCTTGCCAGATGGGTCCACCGATCACTAGAATCGAGAGTTTCTGTTTATGGCGGTCGATAGGTTTGAGCTAATCGGCCCACTGCTATCTTTCGATATTAGCTCATTGGTTCGGAATTTTGATCGCCTTGGTCTTCCTCCTTGGTCATTTGATCCCTTTCAGTTTCGTGCTGCTCTTTTGCCTATACATTTTTATTTATTTCAAATTAGCGATATGCTCAAAGCTCATAATCAATAGAGCTCAAACCAATATTTAAGAAGCTTTTAATAATTGAGTTCAAATATAAACACTACACAAATAATAATATTTAAATGATACTCTTCTTTAAACACAAATTAATATATCAATGTCATATTAACATTTATAAAATTTATTTATGTTAAAATTTTCATAGTTTATAATTGAAAAAGTGAGGCAATTTTTTTATGAGATTACTATTAAATTATGAGCTCCAATTAGAACAAGTAATGACTCATTTCTTAAATTACCAGTAGTAGCATAAAAATAATTTATAAATTTTCATGCATAGATATAATATAAAGTATTTTAAAAATAAAATGTTTAGATGTTAGAAGCATAAATAAAAAGAAATTAATAAAAAGGCATTTGCATATAGGGGTGTAAACGAGCGGAACACGAGCTGAGCCTAGCGTGTTTGGCTCATTTATATTTCGAGCTCAGAAAGTGTGTTCGTGTTCGGCTCGTTTGCTTAGCGATTCGAACACGAGTCGTTCACAAACAAAAAGTCGTTTTGACAACCCTAACCACGTAGTCATAAGATGTTAATGATTGAGACAAGTTTTAAAACATCATTTGAATCTAATTTAATAATTTTTATTCTATTTTCTCAATTAATACTTTTAATTGATTATAA